GGGATCGACCTCGCACTTACATATGCTATACTACCAAACGGCTCGTGCACTTGCGAGTATCACAAGTTGAGGATGCAACTGAATCCATTTTGGTGCAGCTGAAATCCACACAACAGTATGCACCAATAATTTCCTCATATCACTTAGAACTTTTGGTTCTATAATTATCACATTTGTTCAATATTTAAACTTTAGGTTTAAATTATTATGATATGGACTTCAGGTTCCAATATCTGAATTAACAAAATCCCTTTTTCATTCAGGTACATGGTGCTAAAGTTGTTCACAATAAATTGAACACATTACTGTACAGTGGGATTTACAGCTCAAACGAGACTACACAGCTTATGAGTGTCTTCAAATTTATAAACCATAATAGTGAGAGAACCAACTAATATTTGGTATTGATCAACGTTGTTCACGTTAACGTTTAATCACCTTTTCACTTTGTGAACCATGAAATTATATATGTACATATACATATATAAAAGAATTTTCTGGCTTTTTTAGATGTATAGAAATTGTAGCTTCTAGCTCATTCCTTCACATGTATAGAATTTAGGATCTTCAAGTCCTTCATTAAATATATTGAGGATAAAGATCTTCGGGTCTTAATTCCCCTCTTTTTTTTCAGCTTCATCATAATACACAAAGAGTGTAACCAATATTATCTTTTCGTTTCCTATAAATGTGAACCATTTATAATAAATGGGCATTGATTGCTTCTGGCAATCATGATTTCAGTTATGTTATATATATAACTGTAAGTATCAATATTATATTACCATTGTAAAACGAAATTAACTAATAACCCAATATAAATAAAATAAAATAAAATGAGTAAAGTGGTATAAACAAGGAATAAAATAAATAAATTAAGACTATGAAATTCCAAGATAATCTAATATTAATGTGGATGCAATATGTAGATAAACTACAAGTTTAAGAATTGGATTTCCAACAAATTCAGGTTCATATAGGCACAAGTAATGAACTTCAGGTTCATATATAGTATTAAGATCCATGAAAAACTCTGAACTTCAGGTTCATATCAACATATATTCGAAACATCAGGTTTGAATACGTAGATCTAAATAAATTGAATTAATAGTTGTGCTTTGAACTTCATACTCAAATCGATGTATATGCATTCGAAACTTCTGGTTCGGGTTCTTGACATATGTAGACCTCATGGGATTCTGATTTTGATTAAGACAAAATCAAGGAGTTTCATGTCCTTATGTATTCTTTAAATTCACGGAACTTCACAACCTCAATTATTTGGAATCAAAGAACTTCAGGTTTTGATTCAATCAAAAGGACTCTAGGTCCTAATCAAGTTATATGATGAGGATCGAGGAACGTCGGGCCCTGATCTTTTGTATAATACAAACTCGTTATAATAATTAAGATCATACTTAAGATTAAATAAACAAATTTAAAAAAAAAAACATGGCATTATATTCATGTGTAATAAGAATAAGAAATTTTTTTTCCTAAAACGAGCATGATGAAATCTGATGGTGAGTACAAAGAAACTCTATACCATGTGATGACTCTAGTTCATATAAGAAGAAAGAAAATTCAGAGAAAGAAAACATACCAAGAGCAATGTCGTGCTAATAACGTGTTATATAACTAAGGGAAAATTGTAGAGAGAATTAGAAAGTAGAGAAAGACAATAGAAATTGTTCAATCAACTTGTATTTCTCATCTTGATAAGACCTCTTATTTATAGGCTTACAATGGTAAGAAGACATTAACAGCTCATAAGTTACAAGCCATAACTATGGTATTTAGTGTATAGGTTACATAGAATTAGAAAGGGTGAATGCTAAGAGGTATGGTGGTCATCCACCAACTCATGCATTTACAATAGATTTAACTTGAAACATTTTAGAGCATTTGGATACAAATATTTCATTTTCAACATAATATTTAATTTATTTTGTAATTAAAATAAATTTTAGGGTGTAATTGAAACAAATATATATATATATATATATATAAGTGAAAATGAAAGTGCTTTCCCATTTATCAAACACTTATTTCAACAAAATACCATTTTTAGTCATTATACACAGCTCACAACACTTTCATAACAAAATTTATCAAACATTTAGAAACTGATTATTGTACAAACAACACTTTTAACAAAAAGTTTACCAAATGCTAAACTGCTTTTTTTCACAACAAATCTAACAGCACAGCAATACCAAAATTACCCTAACTTGTAAGTCAAGGTTCATTTCCACTCGACTAGGCTAGACGAGAGTGACAAAAGTTATATTGATCATAAAATCCAAGAAAAAAAAATCACTCACACACTCACACACTCACACACTCACACACTCACACACTCACTCCCTTCCCACATTTAAAACGCACACCAACCACACCAACCAGATTCGATGCTATACTGTGGCTCGGTCCCAATTGGCAGCTGTGAAGCACCACGAGTATCACATTGCTTTGTAATTTTATATTTCATACGATAAAAAACACAGAAGACAGTGATTCAGTGATTCAAACTCTGAGCTGCTTGCTTCAATCGCCACTCTCCCATGGAGTCCACATTGTCTGCAGCGACACCGACAACGGTAGCTCTCCTCGCCGTCTCCAGAACCCTCAACAGTCGCCTCTCCCAGACTTTTCTCAGTCAACGCCTCCCGAGTCGTCTGCTAGCTCCCAGGCTCACTTCTTGCCTTCCCAGCAGCTACGGCTTTCAGAGGCCTAATAGTCCCTTCTCTTCGTCCTCGCTGAGGAGCCTGTGCCTCGTTGACCCTGCGGGACGGTGCCGTTTAGGGTGCGTTGGGAGCTCCGCTGCGTCGTTTGCTTCCGGCGGTGGAAATGGTGGCTTTGGCGGCGAGAGTGGCGGCAGCGGCGGTGACGGTGAGGGCGGTTCCGGCGGCGGTGATGCGAAGTCAAAGGTGGTTGCTGCTGGGTGCGATGAGATTTCGGCGGTCTCGACTGATGTCATTGTTCTCGATGTTGGAGTAAGCATACACTATACATTACAAATCCCTCCTCTCTCTCTCTCTCTCTCTCTTACTCAATTTGTTTGGTGTTTTCCTATAGGGAATGACATGTGGGGGATGTGCAGCCAGTGTGAAGCGAATTCTAGAAAGTCAAGTAAGTTTTTCCTTCTTCTGCCTCAAATTTTCATGTATTTTCTGTTGGAAGTGAAATTTCATGCTCTGGAAATAGGCAAAGACACAGTTTTTGCTGATAAGAAAGCTGGATTTGGTTGTGAGGAACTGAATTTCATTTGGAATTCCAGTTGTTGGATTTGCAAACTTATGAATGTGGATATGAAGCAAATATATACAACACTACTCTAGCCTTCATTTGCTGGACCAAATCGAGAATACCTTTCTATTTTATATTAGAGTATAAACAGTGAAATATATATTACCGTTTCTTTCTTAGTGTCTCACATTCTTTTCTTGTGCTATTGAAGATAACCCAAGTAGGAAACTAGTAGGTTTAAGATACCTGTTTTTCTTTTTGGAATTTTGTATTGCTCTCATGTTTATGAGAAGGAGAAGAAAAAGAAAAGGCTAAGTAATTTATGGTGTTCTCTTTCCTTATCACTTAAAGGCATTTGAGAAGGGTGCGCAGGTTGATTTTGTTGATGACTTTTGTTCTGTTCTGTAAACTAAACCAATCTTCTTCCTTTTATCATCTATATGGCAGCCACAGGTGTCATCTGCTAGTGTAAATCTCACAACAGAGACAGCAGTTGTGTGGCCCGTGTCTGAAGCCAAGGTTACTTCGAACTGGCAGAAGCAGTTAGGAGAGACACTTGCCAAGCATTTGACTAATTGTGGTTTCAAGTCTAACCTTCGTGGTAAGCATTTCACAATTTCTTCACCTTCAGTGTGTTATTGTTATTTATTGTTCGCATTTGAGTATGGATTCCATGGTTCTCATTTATTGAAAAGTTGTATGCTTCGTTAATCTTTGTCATGGACTCACGGCTAATATTTTTCGAGGGCGTTGCTTGTTCTTTACTGTTTTTGCTGGATAAAATTTGAACCTATGAGTTCTTTAATCTTCAAGCTGATTTGGGACCAAAAGTTTGTAGATTATTTCTTTTGATTGTGTTTGTTGTGGAATGAAATTGAGTTGTGTTAGAGTTTTCTCAGTTTGCTGTGGACTTCTTGTTCACTGCTGGATAATTTTATTTTATTTTATTTATTCTAACAAAGTCTCTGTTTCTTATATATACGATTTACACACACACATATAGAAATATCAACTTGTTTTGCTTTATTAAGAACAAGATCTAAATAGGTCTTTAATACACATTTCAAGAACCGGTGGTGATTGAGATTGAGATTACTTTATATATTGGCAGACGTTCAGTGCTGATTGTTCTGATGTTGGCTGTCAGGATTTTATTAGCACAGTAGTTGCATGGGTACGAGGATATAGGCTTCATCCTTAGATTGTTGAGTTGCAAATATAGTTGCTCAGCTGGTCTCTACTTGTTTAATTACGGGACAGCTAGAGTTGCATATTCAGTCATAGTGCATTAGAAGCATGACGTTTGCTTGAAACTGTTTGTTTTCTACCCTTGATTTCAACCCTATAAAGCTCTCTTTTCTCGGTCCTCAAGCACGCTTCTGTTACATATCAAAATTGTGATGCTGTGGAATTTTCTATATCGTTTCGAGAATTTGAGGATTGAAGTTCTTCTCGAACTTTGGGTTGTATTGTCGTGATGTTATTATAATTTGTTTTTTAAGATCGAAATCATTTCAGCTGCTAAGATGGATGGAAATTAAGTGGGGTAGACTTTGTGCTTCTTTAGAAATGACGATAGCAGTAAATTTGGTCAACTGAGTGCAAAAAGATTATTATCTATTTAGGTCCCTCCAGAGAGCTGTTTCTCTAACACTGGTCGTCAAATTAGAACCCCAAACTTTTAAAATAAGAGTAGATATGATAACGAGTTTAGGGTTTTCAAATGATTTATGTGAAGCTTGCTGGGTTTAGTGGCAGGTCAGGGAGCTATGGAAGGAGATATATCACCATAGAAGTGCAACAGATTTCTTGTCAGGCTCAACCATAATTGTTTATGGTATGTCCTCAAATCGTTGGATTTAATTTCAGTGACATGTATATGCACAGAATGTTTTACATCTCCTCTTCAGTTTATTAGATGTAACAGAAGAGGCTTGAAAGTTGTTATTGATTCACAGTTACTTGCTTCTATAGGTAGTCCCAACCAGCAGCTCATTGTGGTGGATTGGTTTGAGGAGCATTTCTGCTATGGAGGAGGACTTTCCTTTCCCCTTCTACTCTCTGAGCTTAGCAATTCCTTAGTTCTCATTAGGAAATTAAGGACTCATCTTTCTATAAGTTGGTTGTATACTATGCATAAGATATTTGAGAATTAGACTACTTGTTTCCCCATATGGGCATTTTTTGTTGTTGGTATATGTTTATCCACAATTGTGGAAAGCAGTCAATATCTTCTTTTCTTTCATAGGTTTTGTATATGTACTTTGTAGTTGAGGTGTTTCTATTTATGAGCACACAATCGTATGCACTGAAATTGTTATGTGCTCTTTATATGCCTTACTGGTTGTTTAGATAGAGTTTTCAGTTTTTTAAGACAGTAAATTCTTTCAGTTTTTTTTTCCTTTTGCAAACACAATGCATCCTTCCAAACCAAGGAACAATTCACCAGGCTAATACTCTTACCTTAGGAGGTAATTAAGCTTTCCAAATCACCTGGGAAGGTGTGAAGAGAGAAATAGAGGGATTGTCCAGAAGGTGCTTTTAGAATGAATTGCAAGAAAACAATCCTGAAGACTCCGAACTCCAAATTCATCTATCTGCTCTATGAGAAACCAACTTGACAGATTCTAATTTGATAATAATGCTGAAAGTTCTTCTATTTCTAAATCGTTCAAGTTCCTACGGAACCCAAAATCCCAGCTCAAGGGGAAAAAAAAAAAAAAAAAAGAATCAACACAAACATTTGCAATAGTAACATTATGATATTGGGATACCCAATAAGGGTGAGGATAAAGAGAGCAAAAGCTGTTTCTCCCACCCAACACTCTTCCCAAAACCTCACTCTTTCCCCATCACCCACCTTAAAACGACAACAAAAAGAGAATGAAGTGGGTAAAGAAATGATACAAATTATACAGATGGAGGTTCTTGGTTCCTATAAAAAGAAATTATACAAATGGAACTTCTAATTGAAAGTGATATTTGTAATGGAAACTTAATGTCGTTCCGTTGCCTTTTTTTTTGTTGCTTTTCTTCCATGCTTTGAATATGTGAGATTGTTTTTCTTATTTGTTGTGCACAACTTAGTCTTACTATGCACCATCTATCTTTGGAAAATACATTCTGTTATGTTTTTCTTTGTGTGATGAAGACATGGTATTTTCTTTCCTTGATTTTTATTCTGATTGGAAACACTGCATAATTACCAAAGTCAAGACTCAATTTGGTTTTCCCCCTTATGAATTAATTTGATTCTTGTAGTGGTTCAACTAATTGGTTACTTGTTATGTGCAGATTCAGGAAAAGACAATTTTCTCAAAGTTTTTGAAAGGAAAATGGAAGAAAAGCGTAAACGCCTGAAAGAAAGTGGTAGACATCTTTAATTAGTGAGCATCTCTAGTATGCTTGTTTTTTCTTAAAGGGTGTCTAAATTGTTCTGTAAACTGCTTCAGAGTTCTATGTCTTTAACCATTGATGATTTATCTGCACTACACCGTGCAGCTAATTTCTACTTTACTGTTTTTTGTTAGGCAACGAGCTTGCTTTCTCTTGGGCTCTGTGTGCTGTCTGCCTAGTTGGCCATCTCTCCCATTTTTTTGGAGCTAAGGCGTCATGGATCCATGCGCTTCATTCGACAGGATTCCATCTGTCCTTATGTCTATTTACATTGCTTGGTCCTGGGCGCCGACTTATTGTTGATGGTTTGAGGAGCCTTGTTAAAGGGGCTCCAAACATGAATACTTTGGTTGGTCTTGGGGCTTTATCTTCATTCACTGTCAGTTCAATAGCTGCGTTTATACCAAAGCTGGTTAGTGCTGATCTCTCTTTTTCTTTTTTGGTTCTGGATCTAGTTGGTCTACGAAGTTTTAATTTGTACGTGGGATGAACAAAGGGGTCCTCTGTTATAAGTTAGTTGGTTGATACTTGATACTGTTTTATGTCGATACCAAGAAATTTGGATACTTGTTTAGCATTGCCTGTTATCTTCTAATGGTAACATCATACTTGCAATATAACATGCTTGCTTGTTACTGCATATTATCAATGCTGATTGCTGATCTTTGTAAGGTGTTGCCTAAAAAGGTAACTGAATGCGTAGAAGGGGCTGATATATGTTAAACTCTGTTCCACATGCATCCTTGAGGAGTAATTTTGTGCTTCAAATCGTCATGCCATACCGTCCACCAGGCTCTAATTCCAACTATTTCTTTCAGAAAATAAATATCTGAAATCATGTTGGTCCAACAGGTTAAATTTTGGAGGGCCTGGCCCAAACACTTTGGTTTAAGACTATTTTTGGCCCTCTTTTTGTGTATGACCTATTCTGTTGTTTAAGAAAAGTTAAAGAGTTTGCCCCTCTCATGCCCTCCTTCCCTACCCCCTCTCTTCTTTTGAACCTCGAAATTTGATAGAATTGGTTAAATTTGTTTGAAATGTACATGTGTTGTGCTTGCTAACTCTGTAGCCTTTGTTGTGGATGCAGGGATGGAAGACTTTCTTCGAGGAACCAATTATGTTGATAGCATTTGTCTTGTTAGGGAGGAATCTTGAACAAAGAGCTAAAATCAAAGCAACCAGTGATATGACCGAACTTCTAAGTATTATACCGTCAAAAGCTCGTCTTTTGGTCAACAACAGTGCAAAAGATTTGGAATCAATAGTTGAAGTTCCGTCTAACAGTCTCTCTGTTGGAGATCAAATTGTTGTACTACCTGGAGTAAGTATGATACAGTCCTGCTTTTTTTATTATTCAATGTTTTGTACATTCCCCCTGCCTCTCTTCAAAAACTCAAGGCCGTGCCACAAGGTATTCCAAATCAGTCAACGGGACTATCGATTGGCATGCCCAAGGCTCAACTGGAGCCCATCTTTTCTTTTGGTTCTATGTCGCAGCCCAACCATACCCAACATACGATGGGTTCTCCTCTGGTTGACGACAACATTCCCGTCCCTACCCTGCCACCCTGACCACACGCCAAGAACTTCATGCACCGACACTTGGATTTTAAGATAGCCCGACATGCCAAGCCAGGTGTTTTTCCTGAACCAAGGCACTCTGGCGACGGCTTGTGAACACAATGGATTGAGTGTCTGTCACACCCACACATGCACTTGCATTCGTTGGCCGATCATGTTCATCATGGGTCTATGCAGAGCTCTCTATTTGCCATTCTTACAAGGACTAATGTTCCATGCTTACGGAACGGCTGGTTTGAAGGTGGCAAATATGATGCTGATCTTGAAGAACTACAGAACGCCACATGCCTCTTCACACTTCCTTGGGATTTTGATTTTGTCGTTGTTTACTCGTCGGAGTCGAGTTCTTTTCGGCGGTGGATAATGATGCATAACGCATAGGACCTAAATTTATTAGTTTCCTAGATTCTCTAGTTTTCCAAATTCTAGTAGGATTTCTACTTTTCCAGATTTCCAGATTTCCAGATTTCTAGTTTTAAGTTTCCTATTTTATTTGGGTTATGATTTCTGTTTAAGCAAGGGATTTTTTTGCTATTATGTCTAGGTTTTAGTTTGCTATAAATACCCCCATGTAGTTCTTTAAAATTCAGATTTGGATATTGAGTAAACCTTCTCTTAAAACTATGTGATTTCTGTCCTTCTCGGTTCTCTGATTTCGGTCCTTTCTTTCGTCCCTTCAATCTATATTTTTGTCTCCTCGACCTCCGATATTCTTCTTGTTCTACTGTTCTGCCCTTTCTTTTGTCATTTCAATCTATATTTTCGTCTCCTCGATCTCTTATATTCTTCTATGTTCTATTGTTTGAGTGCTTAATCTAATACCTACGGGCTGTACTACATCACTCTCTCTCTCTCTCTCTCTCTCTCTCTCTCTACATTGACCATGTTTAACTTTTCAGTTATACTCTTAATTGCTTTATCCTTTGATAGATTCAGTCTTTTCTGTTAGATGCCACTACTATTTTATGGATCGTTAATCTCCCAATTTCTGGTGCAAAAGATAACATAGTGGTGAATTATATAGCCTAACTAGTGTCCTGATTTGTGGCATGCAATTACAGTTTCCTTTTTTGCTTTGCTTTAGGAACGTGTTCCAGTAGATGGAATTGTTAAAGCTGGTAGAAGCATCATTGATGAATCAAGTTTTACAGGAGAGCCATTGCCAGTGACCAAACTACCTGGGGTATGGTTATTGTTGTATATTGAGCATGTGCATTTTCCCCATCTCTTCTATGTACACATTTTAATTCACATTATAGAAGCTATTTCTGATATGACTTTATCATAATATTGGGGAATTTTATGTTTGTGCTAGAGTCAAGTTGCTGCCGGAAGCATAAATCTCAATGGAACTCTTACGGTTGAAGTGCAGAGACCAGGTGGCGAGACTGCTATGGCAGACATTGTTCGTTTGGTAGAAGAAGCACAGAGTAGGGAAGCTCCTGTACAGCGCTTGGCTGACAAGGTGATCCATTCTTTCTTAGAGTATTTGGACAGACATTATACTATAGTCTCTATTTTGCAGTAGTGATATCCAAAGTATTTTCAATTTATGGTGGCTTATTACTTGTAGGGGTGTACATGGGCTGGATTGGGTCGGTTTTGGTCATAGTGGGTTTGCAATTTTTTGAAACCAAATTGTGTTTGTGTACAAATGATTGCATGGGTGAGGGGGCTTATGTACAAATGATTGCATTCTGAGTGTTTGAAGAAACACAAAATCTTGGCTTTTCTGGCAGCTTTTGCTGCCGTCAAAGTTTTGTTGCACATTGGGTGCAATTCTGCATCCCTTATGCTGATAACTAGCTAGAACCCGATGGGTTCCACACCTGGTGAGAGTAAAGAATGCTTTCTCAGGTCTTAGGATTGAATAGTACTCACCTAAATTTTGGTAGTTTTGGTGGAAATTTTGGCAAAATCCACAAGAAAACTAATTTCCAACAATATCAGATGTTGCCAATACTTTGGAGATATGCGAGAAAATAGGCCTTTCACTATGTTTCGACTATCGAACCTTGGATATTTCCGATATCTTGGTTGAAGTGCAAAGTAGAAGTGTACACAGAAGTTTCACGGTATTGTTTGAACAAGTGACCCTGTGAGACTTGGATATGGGTTAGATACTTTTATGATTTGGTATTGCCATAAATTTTATCTTGTTCTAACTTCTAATTCAATGCATCACTTACTAGTGAGAATCTTTTATGCATTACTCTGTGTTCTTGTGTTTATTTTTATTGTATTCTTTTTCTTGTTTCTGGACCAAAACTTTTAATCAAGTATAACAAAGCAACTTACATGTATGCAGTTGCCATAACTTAATTTGTCGATCACATTTACTTGAATGGTGTTCATCTTTTGATTGGTTTGGTTTCACCAGGTGGCTGGGCATTTTACATATGGAGTAATGACACTCTCTGCTGCCACATTTTTATTCTGGAGCTTGATTGGTGGTCATATTTTACCTGTTGCTTTTCACGGAGGAAATTCAGTTTCATTAGCATTGCAACTCTCTTGCAGTGTTCTGGTATGACCTAGATTTTTATCACACTTAAAAACTTGAAGGTAACCCTAAGAATTCTTCAATACCATCAAGGAAGCTCATATCTTATCATCTAGTTTGCCTCTTGGAAAGTTGGAAACTGGTAATTAATCATTGATTCGATACAAAATTTAAAATGATTGCACTTAAAAGAAGGAAAAACTTCCTAGCTGCATTGTCTGATTGACATTTGCTTTTACTTTTAAAAAAAATTCCAGTTTTCATTAATCTGTGTTTTCTGATTGCAGGTTGTTGCTTGTCCATGTGCCCTTGGGCTTGCCACACCTACAGCTGTGCTGGTAATCTCTTTGCAAACACTACTTACTGCCATACAAGGAATATTTTGTTGTTTTACTTCATTAAAATATTATTTTGTTTTGGTTGTGACCAACATGAAACCTACATGGTGCATATTAATCTGAAAAGTTATGAGGGTAATGGGAACATTCATAATGTTTCAACCAAAATGGTGTTTTAAACAAGATATTAAATACTGGTCTCCACGAAATTATCAAAGGCTTGAATGCATGGAAGTACGGACGGAAATTTTGATCTCATAAAAAACTTGAGGGAAACGAAAAATTATGGATAAGCTTGAATATCTTCAAACGCAAGAGAAGTATATTTAATCAATTATTTATTATTTTGATAAATATTTTTTTTTTTTGGGAGAAACTTAAGTCTGTAGTAGGTTCGTTTAGAGTGGATAAAATGCGTGCATACAGACACTATTGAAATATAAACCATTATACAAATCATTTGAAACAAAAACTTAAGGTTTAGTTAGTACAAGAGCCTTTGTAAGTATTGGTGTTCGTATGCACGCACTTTACTACTCTTAATAAACGTACTATGTGTTAGTCTGAGTTGTATCGTTGACTAAATAGTGTAGGAAAGTTTTTAATTAGTTGTAATTTCATGTAATTGCTAGAATTATTTTCCTTTTATTGTAATTTTGTATAGTTTAAATACCATCCAGTGGAAGTTGAGTAATAAATCAGAACATAATTTACAATCCTACTTTCTATGTTACCGACTTTAGTTTGCGGAAACGCTATTACTTAGAAATGGTCTTGTACTTATTATGCCATAAATATTTCTAATATTTTTTGTTAATAGAATGTATATACTTTGTTTTTTATTGCAACGCCTGGCTTAGTCTTTCGGCCTATCAAAAGCTATATATGATGCCATGAAATGATAAACAGAACGCGAAGAGGATATGCTAATTAATTTCTAAATTCAGCCTACTTGTTTAAGCAATTGCATTTTAGAGAAACCACTCCCAACAACTGACAACAAGGTAAGGTTGGCACACACTCTGCAAACAAAATCATTACCTCTGTAGGTTTCATTTGTTTGATAAGTGCTAAATTTGAATTTATTTGCGTATGATATATCAAATTTATCTTCAGTATTGAGTGCTTTCTAGGTTGGGACTTCATTGGGAGCAAAAAGAGGACTGCTTTTGCGTGGTGGAAATATTTTAGAGAAGTTTTCAATGGTGAACACTATAGTGTTTGATAAAACAGGGACTCTGACAATGGGCAAACCTGTTGTGACAAAGATTTTGACTCCTGAACGTTCAAAAGTTACTGACTTACAGTTGAGTGGTGACAAATTTTCAATCTCACATGACTGTTTCATTTAAGGGAATTGAATTTGCCGGAAGCTTTTCTAATTACATTAGAAAAGGGTTCCTTTATTTTTCTGTAAAACAATAAGAGTTCAGCATGCTTCTATGATCTCCTCGCTTCGACCCTTGCCAACAATTGCAAGGGAATTTACAACTCTTAACTTCCTAGCCCCGATCCAAACCCAAACCGAAAGAAAAATAATAGAGAAGTGTAAATATACGTGGTTCACCCCAAATTAGGCTATGTTCAATGATCTAATAAATAAATAAAGAAATTAAAAATAGGTTCTTCACTCATACTAAAGTAAGATCTCTTTACTCAACATTGTTCAGAATAGAGAACCAAAACCAAAGGTCAACAAGCAGGTTACTGAAACTGTCCCTCTTGCTTAATTGAATGGCATCTTATCACATATTGCTTATGGATTGCTGTCTAGCTGCATGTGTTGCTGTAATTAATGTGTTTAAGTGGTTTACTGACATGTGCATTACCAATTATTTCCTCGAGTGCATTTGTTTGATCTGTTTTACAATCCCCCTGTACTACTAGAATAAATTCTTGGTGTTGCGACAAATTTATTTTAGGACCCAAATGCATTTGAAGTGGATGAAATTTTTTTATGACTTGATTATCAGAGGTGCAACTCGACCAAATAACTCATCCTTTTCATGGATACACATTGCATTACTTTAGCTGTTTTATAATTTACACATGACTACAAAGATGAGTACACATAACCCTATAGAAGTGATCTCTTTACCTTTATCATCAACTCAGTCTGGAGTCTTTCCAATCTGTATTTTTTACCTGTTATATTGGTTAAGTAATTTATTATCTAGAAATCAGATCAGTTAAAGAAAGATTACAATTCAGAGCTTTTATCACTAGGTTTCTACCATTAAGATGAAAAATGGAGTGATTTTTCTTTTAATCTTTTAACAGAGAAAAGTTTAACCATACTTGGTCAGAAGTTGATGTTCTGAAGTTTGCTGCTGGAGTAGAATCAAATACAGTTCATCCTGTTGGGAAAGCTATTGTGGAAGCTGCTCAGGCTGTTAATTGCCAGAATATGAAGGTTCCTTCTTCTGAAGCTTTGTAAATGTGCTTCTTATGGATCATTTCGTCCTTAACTTATTGAAATGCATCTTGTCCCATACTGTTGAGGTGGATTTTGATTACTGTGTACAATATTTTATGGAGTGCATTCCTTATGGAATTTAATATGAACCAAAATTTCTTAATAAGTGAACATATGATTCTTTCTCCTTCATGATTGCATATCTGGATTCTTCGTCGTTGTTTCAATTTTTCATTATCCATCTACGACTCACAGCAACCCAATCTTCTATTCTTCAGTTTGGCTTGGATCGGTATGCAAGTTTTGTCAGTCTACATTTATTTTCAAGCCCACTAAACTCAACTGACATGGAAAACAAACACAGTAGACTTTAATAAGTGAACATATGATTCTTTCTCCTTCATGATTTCATATCTGGATTCTTCATCGTTATTTCAACTTTTCATTATCCATCTATGACTCACAACAACCCAATCTTCTGTTCCTCGGTTTGGCTTGGATCGGTATGCAAGTTTTGTCAGTCTACATTTATTGTAAAGCCCACTAAACTCAACTGACATGGAAAACACAGTAGACTTTGATAACTCAGTAAACTGAGGGCCTGATGCAGAATGCATATTATTAGTTTTCCTAATTCTACTTGGATTAGTTTTCCTATTATTAGTTTTCCTAATTCTTAAAGATTCCTTCTTGGTAAAGGATCTCTTATTAGTTAATTTGCTTTCCTATTTCTTAAAGTTTACTTTTCCTTTTCCTAGACTAAAAAGGGTTTTGCCTCTATAAATAGAGTTGTTTGTAATCTTTTAAGGCAGACTTGATTAATGATAAATTCCCTTACTTTTAACTCTCTGATTCCTTCCCTTTCCCTTCGTCTCTTCGATCTCTGATTCTTCTCCTCAATCCCTTATTTCTTCTTTGTGTGTTAACTCTAAATCTACAGGCTGTTCTGCATCAGGGCCTGTTTGGGAGTGCTTTGGTAGTATGCACTTCTACTTAGACGCTTTTTCTAGAAGTGAAAAAATGTGAGCACTGCCTGAAAAAGCACTTCGAAATGCTTCATGAATAAGAAGCTAGCAGGTGCTCCTCCAGAAATCATTTTTAAGTGTTCTTGAAATCCAAAAGAAACCTTTTCTGCTGAATGCCACCAGAAGCGCTTTTGGTTATCTGAAAGCACTGCCAAAAGTCTAAATAGGATCGTAAAAGAAAAGGAGATAACTTAGATGAGACTCATCTTATTATGCAGAAATAAGCTTAATCAAATTGGAAGATGACTTAAGATGAGTTTCACTGCCACTTACTGGTAGGAAGTTTTACCCTAAGTATGAAGAATGCCCATAAGAAAGTGTTTGATAGAAAAGAAAATACTAGGTTGAACTGTAAAATGAAACCTTACATTCCATAGCTATGTAAAATAATCTGGCATTTGTATGGGGGTAAATGCTCACTACTACTGGAGCAACTAGCCCCCACAAATATTTGCATCTTCTAAAATATGTTTAAACAATTTAATATTGATCCTTTTGAAAAATGTAATCATGTGGCATAATTTTACCCTTGGTTTTGATTGTTTCTAAATGTGAATTAAGTATTTAAGCAGCAGTTTTTTAGGCTTCTCTGGTGTTTTGGCCTAGGTAAAGTGTTGTTTGAGGTTGTCTCCTTTCGTAGCTTATATGTCCTCTAATGGATTTTATTAAGGACAGATTTAGATTTTTCGTAGCTTATGGTGTGATTTCATCTTGACTAGGCTGGAGTTCTGTTCTTTTTTCTTTTTTTCTTTTGTTTTTCTTTTCCCACTATATAGTATCTCATTTCTTACAAAGAAAAACAGAATGCATTTAGTGAACATGTTGCGTTCTAGGATAGATATATTATCAAGTGCATGCATTAACTAGTCAAGGTTCGAACAAAAAATCATGGTGCTGAGATCATTTACCCTGAACCTTTTTTTCAGATTGTAGATGGAACATTTTTGGAAGAACCTGGGTCTGGTGCTGTAGCAACTATTGAGAACAAAAAGGTTTCTATAGGAACTTTGGACTGGGTTCAAAGGTAATTAATTCCTCACTGGCCCTTTTGTAGTTTACAGGTTTCAATGGAATATAATAGTTTGTATTGCTTCGTATTTGCATATGAATTGCTGCTTGTGAATGTGCAATGCTTATGGGCATTGGTCATGGATTATGGTTAGGTAACTCAAAAGAACTGAGAATCCTACTTCTAATTGAAAGATTTAGATTGATGTAGAACAACATAAAGGAGGGAGGGTTATGCCTATGGTCATGGTGAACTGTTACGGCTACAAATAACAATCTAAATGGAGAAGCGTGCTGGACAGATTTGACTTACTAAAATAAAAAGGTCTATAAGTAGCACAATTTGTAGGAAATGGGAGAATCTTTGAGAGAAAAAGAAGATGTGGACCTGCTGTAATTGGAGAGGATGAAAGAGAAGGTAAATAGAGAGAGGGTACATGCATTCAGGGCTCCAAGCCATCAACAAATGCTCATTTCTTTAACTCCAAGTTGCCTTTAACTTAGAAAAGTGAGCCTTATTTATATAGGGGTTTGACATATAAAGGAATTAAAAAGAAAACCCTAGAGATTTGTTAAAGAGTTGCAGACGTATAAAGACATATTAAAGAATAGAAGATTCTTAGACCTTAAAAGACTTTAAAGTCTGTCTAGAGCCTAAACATAATTGAATCTTAACAACTCTTGACCTTAACTTTTAAATTGATATGACTACTGAAAATGGATTGACTGTTTCGCTTGCCGTAGACATTTTATATTTGGACCAAAAGGCTTAGTCTTTGGCTTTGGCTTCCATAGAGGATATGTTTTTTCTTATTGTGATTTTAACCATTTGCTCTTGTGTTGTGTGTTATCTCATATGTGCAGGCACGGAGTTAATGAGAATCCATTTCAAGAAGTAGAAGCCCATAAGAGTCAGTCTGTTGTTTATGTTGGCATTGATAGTACTCTTGCTGGTCTTATATATTTCGAGGATCAGATAAGGGAAGATGCTGGACAAGTTGTTAAATCTTTATCTAAGCAAGGGATAAATGTATACATGCTATCTGGGGACAAAAGAAATAACGCAGAGTATGTAGCATCTGTTGTTGGTATTCCGAAAGAGAAGGTAAGGTGTTTCCAATTATTTCTTCTTTTTTTTTATGGGAAACAAAATTTTCATTACTTAGGAAACAAGGTACAAATAGTGAACAAGGAGCACTTTTAAAACAAAACTTCACCAAACCAAAAAATCAATTCTACACTAAGAGAGATACAGCAAGACAGTAACAAGGAAAATTGCCAAAAAGACTACGACAACACATGAGAACTGAATGAATTGCAGGGATATGTAATTAGGTAGAAATGGTGACTGCATTGTAGGAAGAAACTACTCCTGAATGTAAGAAATGCAAGTTATAAGCGTTCATAAAGCTTGGCTATGGAGATTTACTTCTGCCTAGCTGTAAAGATTATTTTAACAAATAAGGAGCAGATATGGCCTTCATAAGAATTGTTGGGATGCGAAGTTAGTCTCGAGGGGTTTGAGTCCATGTCCGTGAAAGATCCCAAAGATGGGAGGTTTTTTTATTGTTGCTGTCAGTTTATGGTGGGAAGGGGGAACAAAGTTAGATTTTGGGAAGATTGTTGGGTACGGGAAATACCTTTGTGCTCAAGATTTCCTTGACTTTTCAGGTGTCTAGGGGTTAAAATAATGGGGTGGCTGTTATGACAGAGGTTTGTGCAGCTTTGCTTTGGAAGACAGTTACATGAAGAAGAAACTGAGGACAGTTTTGGAGAATACTCAGGTTTTTCAGCACATAGTCCAGATAGGAGGAAAAGGAAACTGGATTCATCAGTCTTAGGCCCCGTTTGATTTTCCTGTGTTCCACAATCTGACTATACATATTTATAATCATCCCTATAGTAGGAATTGTCTTATGTAATTATTTTAAGTAATTTATAATTTACCTGTGTTCCCCAGCTAATTTAAGTACCACATAAGTGTTATACAACTTTAAGCAGAACATAAAAAGCTTTTCCTCTATCGTATTCAAAGGTAAAAGCTATGCTGTGGATTGCAGGTGATATCTGGTGTTAAACCGAGGGAAAAGAAGAAGTTCATAACAGATCTTCAGAAGGATCAAAACATTGTAGCCATGGTTGGTGATGGAATTAATGATGCTGCAGCATTAGCTTCATCACATGTTGGAATTGCCATGGGTGGTGGTGTTGGAGCTGCTAGTGAGGTATCCTCTATTGTGCTACTGGGCAACAGACTTTCACAGGTACTTTTAGAAAAATATAACTTTTGTAGTACAACATAACTATTTGCTTCAACACATGAAGCATTTTACCTTTATAATTGCATCCATCCATTTCATTTCTAAGGGTTGAAAGGATGTTGTTCCTTACCTTAGTTAAGGGTTAAGGGTTTTCGCGCTGGGGGTGGGGTGGGGTAGAGGGCTGAGTTCTTATGGAACTGCAGAGTGTTGGCTGTCATTGGGGCCTTATAGATGGAGAGGAATAGACAAATTTTTTAAAACTCCAATGGGATGTGGTCGAAGACTTGTGGCATATGGTGTTTCTTTCCATCTCTTTGAGGTTTTGTTTCCAATGTTTTCAAGGGTGTCAGTTTGTCTGCCTTATTGCTAGGTTGGGAGGCAGCTATTAGTAGTGTTTTCTTTTGGTTTGTTCCTGTGGCTAGTTTTGATCTGCTCTTGTTTTTTTTGGTTTGTTATATAGAAGTGGATTTTGCAACTACTGGTTTACTGTTTAATATTTTGTTAATAAAAGTTCTCTCTTAAAAAAGAAGTAAAGAAATAGTTGATCAAAAATCAGTGAATTCCCAGTTAATTGGGGGTTGGGGTGCTAGCGGCGAAATATCCAATTAAGCAATTGAAGATGTAAATGTAACTCTGTCATTAAAGTGCATGTTGGTACAACCACACAACTTGCTTTCTCTTCAGCAAAATAAGAGGCCACTTACCAGCTGGCCTAGTGCCTTTTTCGTGTTGGCAAAGGGCATACGAGAATGTGCATATATATGTGATCTGACATATTCAATCAACAGTAGCGGTTTCTTACTTTTCCTTTTAAGTTATCAAAATTTTCTAAAAGTTTTTATGGCATGCATGATATGTGTGTCTAAGTGCAAAAGGAGTGCAACACAATAAGCGTACAAGAGAGAACTCAAAGGAAATTAATAATGAACTAAAACAAGGCTAGCTTATGAAGTTCAACAACAAAATTCCTCAAAGGAAACGAAGAAATCCTAGCTTTCAGAACTCGAACGCTTGGAATTTGAGGAGCCCTGAAAATCAATTACTGGAGCTGTGCATGCCTCAATCCAGTGTTAACATATAAATTCTTAAAAGGGTTATTTATGTAAACACCCTCCCTTGTTGTTTGTGAAAGCATAAATTGGCACCAGATTGTATACTGCTATATCTGGAAACCAAACTATGGATAGAGGCTTACAAGCCTGTTAGGAAAATTTGCTTTTGCTGTCGTCCACAACTACAAATTGAAGAATGCAGAACAAATATTTTAACCAAAATATGAATAATGTTGATCGCTGGAGTGCTGGAGGAAGGCTTAGTATAGTCTTCTTTTCATGTAATAAGCACTGTTGTGTTGTATATTTGATCTTCATAACGTTCTCCAGGTACTTGATGCTTTGGAGCTGAGCAGGCAAACCATGAAGACTGTGAAGCAAAATCTTTGGTGGGCTTTTGCATACAATATTGTAAGTCCTCTATGGAATAGGAATAGCCAGTGTTCTATTTCCTTTTTTAAATTTTCTCCAGCACCAGAAGCTGAAATAGAATGAAAGAGATCATATTCCATCTTCTGGAGTTTCATGCCACTGGAAGCACAAGAATGAAAACCTGTAGATATCACAAGCTTATTAGAAAGTTGATTTTGAATCTTTAGTATCTACATAAAATTTTAAAAGAATGGAATGGTGGAGAGAATGTTGTGATTTTTATCTGGATTTTTTGGGCTGTCAGATTTACTAGTTTACTCAAAGTGATTCAAAGTACTTTCGGTTGCCTGAAATAAATTAGAATGTGCCGTCCTTAGCTGCTTCCAGCAGCTGACAATTTCAATAATCAAACTGTTTGATATACCATACTTGTTTAACTCGGGCAGACTTAAGTTGAAACTGCAAGATGTGTGAACCATATCAAAGTGCAGGTTTTGTTGATTTGGTTAGTCTTGGTTTTTCTGTTTTTTTGTTTTGTTTTTGTTTTTAGCCTTCTAATAAGGTGCTTAATACAAGGACAAACCATATTGTTTCTTTTCTTGTCTTTTTCTCCCTTTTCATTCTTCTTTCCCCTTTCCTTAGGATTGTTTCATGATACTGTATATGCTTTGCTCTCTTTTCAGAAGCAATACCTGGTCTTATGCTACTGGCTTTTTACAGGTAGGACTTCCAATTGCTGCTGGAGTGTTGCTGCCGGTAACTGGGACCATGCTGACGCCGTCAATTGCAGGAGCCCTCATGGGCTTGAGTTCTGTCGGGGTTATGGCAAATTCATTGTTTCTAAGATACAAGTTTTCATCAAAACAGGGGGTAATATATAGTGGATCTGCACACACGAAAACTAACGGGGATTCCAATCTTCTCATGGACAAAAGTGCAGAAGAAGATCCTCATTCTGATGGTAAATGGAAAGGATGATAACACCAACAAAAAGATAGGGTTCTACATGTTCTACCACTATATGTGGAGCAGCCTGATAACATGGCAGCAGATAGGGGTCCTAACCAATTCAGTTATCCCAAGAATTCTGAAAGATGGCCAAAGAACAAACACCATACTGCCGTATAAGTGAATTTAGGAATCTACTGCAGAACTGGATAAATTTTTTGAAGTTGCTTCCATTTGAGTTGTGATCGTATTCTTCTCGGACCATATCTTTCAATCCAGGATGAGCGGCAGTTCATCGGTGTTGCCAGTTTTACGTAAACAATATCCTTCAATTCAACAGGGTATTGCTATCTTAAGTTGTACCTAGTGTGACTTATGGGTTGTATTCTCTCAGCAATATTTAAAACACATTTTTGCCAATACTTGGCCTTGCATGGCAGACATTAAAACAACAAAGTGCTAGAGGAAATTATTTGAGAGACAATCTTCCAATATATCCGCAAATGCTCATCTCTAAACTATTGGCGCGAAAAACTAGTAGGATGAAAGTTAAGGGTTAGTTTTCTGAAAAATCTGCCCCCTGCTCTTTTTGGCTTGTCCAATTTGGTCCCTTGAAACTCTTTTGCAATTGTGTTTAATCAGCTCAAACAGTGACTTCTGTTTCAACGAAGTCACTCTTGGAATTGGACTTCATTTATCATCTGCAAACATAATTCCTATTTTAATTTTGTCGTATCAATTTTTGACAATTTAGTCCAGATACTGTAAGGAGAATTCTCTAGTAAGTATTTTTATTTCAGCAATTCACGAAAGAAATTGATAATAAATACGTTAACCTACTGTAAACCCTATGTGAAAAGTTGCCAATCCAAGCCAAGCCCACCAAACTCTAAACACAAATAGTGAGTCGCCAGAAAAGGAAGATTGGTTTCTATATAACCATAACCCTGCTTCGGTTTCGCCTCGAATTCAATTTCAAGGTTAGGTAATTTTTGAACTTTTAAGGCTATGGTTTTTGTGATCCAATTGTAAGTGGGTCTGGTAATTTCTCAACTTTTATGAGTGGGATTATATGGACGTAAAATTACTGCTCTATGAATATGTTGTGTATGTCTTGATTTTTGACATTTTCTTCCTTAGCAATTGAATTTGTGTCCTCAATCTGGTTTTTAGGGTTAAACCATGTGGTATAAAAGTACTTTGTATGTTTAAACTCCGTTTGGTTAAAGTATGGTTATGATGTTTTATCACTATTATTCTTTTATGTGGACGTCGAATGCCATTGTAAATAGGAAGGAAAGCAGGAAGGGATAGTAGAAAATACATGACGTCCGCATAGTAATAACGTGCGAACGTCTGCATTGGGGAAAATATGTATATATATCTCATATCACAATGTGAAATCTCAACATGAACTATGAATCACAAAGCATCAACTGATTAAGTGGCAAACCAGCGAAATGATACAATAAGAATAAATTTATTAAAGGATTAACAAATCAGACTATGACTGTAATATTGGCCGGTGAAGAATTAACTAAGTTTTGCAAGGTTCATTAAGCCACTAACAACTCAAAAATTTCAAATGAAGCAACAGAAGCAAGAGATCATATTGGAGCTTAAATCTTAAACCTTTTTATATGGATCTTTAAACTCAGTGTGATCCTAGACTTAACCATTTCATAAATGAAACAAAGAGAGATGAGAGAATCATACCCTTGGAGCAAATTCTAAAGCCAAGGAGGCTATAGTTCCAAATCTTGTCTCCCTTAGATGAGCTATCTCTATATTGGTGCATCAAGGGATGCAATCTCCGAGTTCACCACACCAAATACACTGATTTGATCGCGCAAGAGAGGTGTTAGAAAACTTAGAGAGGAGAACCTAACCCTACGATGCAAGGAAAAAACTTGCACGTACAAAACCAAGAGAGATAATCAATACTCAAAGAGTCCAAATAAGACTTATCAATCCCATCTCTAACCTTCTACTTTAGACCTTCTCCCTTCTCCTCATGTCATTTGTCATTCCCCTTACACTTCAAATAATGTCTTTAATGCGTAGAAAGAGTTGACTTTTATTTTCCATGTCAACCCTTATGAAATGTAATAGCCTTCATCAACTCCCATTTAAATGTGAACTTTGAAGAAAATTTAAAAACAGAACTCAAACTAAACCCTATAATTTTTTTTGAAAAAACCCCAACAGCCACGCAAGCTATCCACCTAAGTCTTCTATATGTTTTGGGTACTAGAAGCTTGAGTTTGGTTTCAAAGCTTGGGTTTTGCCTGTTGCCATGGGGAGGATGGTTTATGGAGATGGAAGTTAATAAACAGTTTCAAAGCCAATTGGAAGCTACAGGGATGATTCCTGCTCCCGCCGTTTGGTTCATGGGAAAGGAGGCATAGGAATGGGAATTCAATTGCTTTCCCATGTTTGGTAAGTCCGGGAATGGGAAACGGATTCCTGGCACATGGGAAAATAGGGGGGAAAGTGATGCCCCCCTCTTAACTTGGGTTTTGCTTTCCCTCCTCATGGGAAAGTTTGGGAAAATGTGCCAACATTCAATGCACACTTTTCATGACTATTTTGTCCCTATGAACAATTTATAATTACAACGTATCATTAAATGCATTCTTTTTTTATTTGATTTAATATGGGTATAATTGGAAAATTATACAATTTTTGTTTTCCATTCCTACTCAAAACAAACATGGGAAAGGAAACAAAGTGAAATCTCCCGATTACTTTCCCAACATTACCAAACGTGGAAAAGGAATCTTTCATTCCCATTCCTTGGAAAATGACATGAGAATTGATTTCCCCTCAAATCCATTCCGTGAACCAAACGGGGATACGTGTATATAATGTCTTGACGGAAGGGATTTGATGACGGTAGTTGGCATGATGGTTAATGGGAGATGTTATTTTTTCTTTGGAGCTAATTTCAGTTTCCTTTAAGTCTATACGAGAGAGAGAGAGGGAGAGAGAGAGAGAGAGAGATGAATAGGAGAATGGTAATAAAGTACGTAATATAATTTCAATTTCCTATCATGTCTATACAAGTTATATGAATGCCAATCCAACAATAGTCGTTTCAATGTCAAAACAATTAGATGTGGAAGGCTGTGCATTATAAATCACATTCACATAACTTTGACATCGTAATTACAGTACACTTTCCAAATGCATAACTGCAAAAATCGATGCATGGAAGACAAGCCAAGGAGAACAAAACTTCAGAGATGTGACATCCTCAAGGATTGGAGGACCAAAATGGCCAACAATCAAATAGCGAGGAGGGCAACGAAATTCCAGAAGCTCATGGTTTAAATTGCAGCAACAAGTCGTGTGCCACATCAATCTTCCATAACACCAGCTGCGTTCGTGTCTCGACTCTGGTGTAAAAGTTCAGATTTGCCTTATTTTCGTAGCAAAATCGTCCTTCAAACCATATATGTCATCCCAACCTGCATTAGATGCGAATGGGGCACGCTCAAATTGGCAATCCCCCTCCTGCAATTTTTTCTCAAGAAGGCGTAGAAGTAATTGATGATTAACTTCTTAATAAACCAGGAATCTTTCCTGGCCCTAATATCCCCGTGACCGAGAAGATAGACAACCCCCGATTCTTTGGCCTTGCGTATAAAAGATAGTTCCCTCTCAATACTCTGCTCAGCATCATAAGCTGTCTGGTCTGCAGGAGGCGCTGGCTTCACCTCCTCTGATGTGCTTGCTTCTGATATAGGCTCGCTTGACTCCTTGTACTCTGCCAGGAGAGGAACACCAAGTGAGTAGACACTTCCATTGGGAGCTATGAGAACTCTTGAGCACGAAGTCATGTCCTCAGAGTCTGTATCACCATCATCCCCATCACTCTCTAGTGACCGCTCCTGAGCTTCCCGACGAATGAATTTCTCAAGGCTCTCAATTAGTAGCTGTTCAAACGTCTGGTGACTTTCTTTACGAACATCCTTGTAGCCATACCTGTTGAAGTTATGACATCAGACAGGGAAGGCAACTAGACATAATAGGATGAAAAGGCAAACGAAGGGAAAAACACTCAAATCTAAATTTTGCACAAGATTCAACAAAGGCAACACTCAACTCTCCTAAATTACAGGTATTTAGCATCTTACCTGGCAATGCAACGAAATATGTGGTAGTTTTTTGGGCAGACACGCCGGAAAAGAAACCTTTCACTTTGAGGCACTACAGGAACTGGAACATACTTTATACATACAAATATGATCATCGAGTGGATTGCCGGAAGTGTGGTTAGAAAATGGCCAAAAATTGCTGGTATTCCCTTCACCAACTCATTATAAAGCAAGCCAATTCCCGGTGCTCTGATTGTCCCAAGATTGCAACCCAATTCCCGCATCAAATCCATTGACAGCTTTTGCTTGACTTCAGTTTCGTACTTAAGCTTGCTTCCATAGTTCCAGATAAACATTATAAAAAACATAATTATGGCAAAGACCAAAATTATCCAACTTCCATCTCCCACACTCCACAAAACTGACGAGAAAAAGGTCAATTCCAACCCCAGGAAAATTACTATGAAACTCAGCACGATGATAATGTTTATCTGCCATATAAGAAGCATAACTATTGTTACTAAAATGGTCGTCATCATCATCACTCCTAGCTCAGCAATGCCTGTAGTAAAAGAGGGTCATTATCAAGAAATTAAAAACCTGTATATAAATTGATTTTATGCAAAAATTAAGTTCATCCACGGGGATACAAGAACCACAGTTGATGGTAACTGTTGAAATTACTCATGAGAACGCATATAAGTTATTTGGAATGTCCGATGAAGTTAAGTAGGACTGACCTATAAGGTTCCAATTTAGAGAGAATAAATTTTTAAACGAGGTAAAAAAACCGAAATTCACCAAATAAAAAAAGGGATATTATATTCCATGGAGTTTACACGGTTTATCCAGAAAAGATGAAATATGTAGTATGCAATGCATCTAACAAAAAATAACAAAGGCTCCTAATTAGTACAATTGTTGTTAAACATAGAGAATTTTAAACACTAAAATATTATAACAGAGGCAAATTTGCATATCCTAATGGATTATTTGATTTTATTATCCACTATAATTTTCTTTAATAAAATTATAAATTAAGGAACTTGATAAATTTTGAAACGCATGATATTTGCTATTCAGCATTAAAAATATAAATAATCTAATTGAGGGACTAGAGTAAACAACAGAAGAAAAAGGATAACTTTCTTATAAAAATAAATAAATAGCAGAGAGAGGATAGCTTTAAGACAAAATAACAGCACACACACACACACACACACAAGCAATATGAAGAGGAGGCTAGAGTGTTGAAAGAAAACTAAGTTGTCTAGGCAAGACATCTACAAGTAACCCAAATCTAAAACCTTAAGAGTTCGTTAACAAACAAAGAACAAAGTTGAACAAGAAATGAGACTAAATACTTTGGAACATAATGAGTATTACCATATGCATTTCCAATCTCATCAATGCTTGAAATAGTGCAGATAGACACCAGGCAAACCACCAGCAAAAACCAATTCACGACAGGGATATAAATTTGCCCCATGAATTTCCGGGAGGTATGTATGATTTTAAGGCGAGGGAAACAACCAAGTGCCATTGATTGTTTTATGCATGAAAATGTGGCCGTCGTCATTGCACGACTAGCAATCAATGCAGCAATGTTAGCAATGAAGAACACAGGCCAGAAAACACCACCTGCAGACAAAGACATGGTATTATTTCTCCAGAATTAACTTCCATCTAGAACTTATGCAAATACAATGTTCCAAAATGCAAAGGGATATTAAATGAGTTAATAACATATCTAAGACTTAGTGAACAAGTGTGACTCCTGAAAAATTTGCGAAAAGTCCAAACAGATGACAATTTAATGGAAAAAAACCATTGAAGCTTACTTGGAATTGAAGAAAAGAAAGCTTGCTCAGCTGCAGCTGGGTTCTCCATAAGGTATGCAGCTTGACCCAAATAACCCAACATAAGGCATGGCAAAACAAGAAGCACAAATGTAAGCTGCAAAGAAAAGGTACCCAGTAAATTAATTAGAATTGAAGTAATGAGAAGGCCAACACCATAGGTTGAGACACTTTGATGTATCATAAAAAAATGTAGAAAAATTGACCCAAAAACCACTTATTTCTACATTCTTTACCTGGACTGATCGAACAGAAAAGTAGCAAAGATCCGCAAACATTGCCTCAGAACCTGACACATACTATGCCATCAGTAACAATAACATACAAATAAGTAGTTCACAAACATGAATATATAGGTTCACAGTTCATCATAAATCATAAAAGACAAATTAGAATCGCATTTGCATATAAAAGCTTAACACCTCTATCATATTACACCATTGGTGAGTCGCATCCCATAATTCATGCTTTGAATTCTTATGACACAATAGGCACATGTCTTTTTCTTCTTTTTCTTTTTTCAAAAGGAAACAGACAAATGCAAGCTAAGGGATAGAGTTAGCAGATTTTTTTTATTTTTTTTTTCATTAAAAAGGAACAAAACCATTCAGCGGACAAGTTGTCCACTGGTCTACTAGATAGAAGACGCTAGCTAAAGAATTAAAGAAAGACTGCAAAGCATAGCTAACCAACAAAGACATATTGCAGCAGACCAACAAAAACTGGTTTACAGCAAAATTCCAATCTAGCTCGAAAGGAACTACCCTTAAATTCTGAAGATACCGACACCTACCCAACTTTATCCACCACAAAACTTCTACCTCTCACACAATAATGCAACACACAAAGCTGGAGTCGCCTCACCGAACTCAAATGGGCCTCCTTAAACACTCTTCTCCACAAGGTCAAAGCAATACGACAATGGAGCAACAGGTGACCTGAACTCTTCTCAACAGCACTTTTACACATCACACACCAGTGGGGAGAGAGACACCAATGAAGGCCATCTCCTCTGAACCATATCATGAGTACTCACCCTACCATGAGCCATAATCCAGGCCAACACCCATAACTCATGAGGTATTTTTGCCTTCCAAATTGCACTAAAGGAAGAAAGACGAGTTATCCATAATTTTTTTTGGCATAAGATTTACAAGAGAATACTCCCAAAGACTCCAACGTTCATACCCTTTCTATCTGTCCTAGATTGGACCAATAAAGCATTCTATAAGACCGCCGTTAACTCTGCTACGAAGGCACCAACACTCTAAAATCAATCTAGGTAAGGTGGTAGAATTTTCAGTTCACCATAAAACATCAATGGATTTGTTTACTGACAGTCACATTGTGAGGGAATACAGACATTAAGATAATTTGTACATTTTTTTTTCGTAAGAAACTGAATTTTTTTTTTATTAAGGGAAATTATTTCGGGTTGAAAGTATTCCATTCATATGCTAAAATAGAACAGTAAAACTCATAAAAGAAAAGGGGAAAAAAATTAATTACAGAAAAGAGTAGACCAAATTTACAAGTGGAATCAAGGTTGCAAACATTTACAAAGGACAAATATAGCAACTCTCATGCATCCCCAAAGTCCAAGTTTTCCAGATTGATTACCTGTAGCGCACAGAAGACAACCCCCAAGAGAATACCAACCCTTAGTCGAGTTCCTTTTGAAGAAGTAATAGATGTGAACAGGATTGAATGCCTTCAACACACTGCTGTCATATTTAACAAGGTTGTAAATCCCAATGGCCCCAAGGGAACAAAACCATATGAATAAGGCAGGGCCTACAGCCAGTCCAACTTTACTTGTCCCGAATTTCTGTACACTGAATAAAATTACAAGAAACGCAACTGAAATCATCACCACTTGATCTGCACCCAAATTTAAGAAAAAAGGATAGTAAATATTAAATAGTAGGTCACATTAAAACAGCATAAGCAGCTATCATATGTACAATGATGAAATAAAAACCCAAAAGGAGAGAGAGAAGAGGGGAAAAGGAATAGGAAACAAAGATTTTCGACCCAGTTAACCACTTCAAAAAACTGCTTTCATGAGATGAATCATGCATGATTTGGTCAAAACTTAGAACCATGTGTATATACAAGCATGTTGAGCTTTGAGAAATCGATACAACACAATAGAGGAAGCCCTAAAGGCAGATATAATAGGTAAAAGGAACCAAAAATAAATAAGATAAGATAAACAAAATTCTTAAATTTATAACCGTCAGTAATTACTTAACCATCAGACTGAGAGCATTCAGGCATGTCCTGATGCACATGTTAGAGAAGCACGCCAAGGCAGGACTTACCTAGAACAAATTCAAAATGGTAGTACAGACACACTATTTACACTTTTACTGCTGAGAGACACACAAAATGATAGTACTTCCTTTTGCTAACCACAAGTCAAACTGCACAAAGCTACAAGTAACTGCGGTTCGATGAGGAAAAGAGAAGAGGTCATATTTATGCTTCACATCAGAGTTGCACACTAATTACACTTTTAATGCTGAGACACAAAAACAAAGAACAAAAAAATCACCACAAAACAGGCTGCATCAAAGCTAAAAGCAACTGTGGTTTGATGAGAGACTGTGTAGCCCCTCCAATAGAATCATGAATGTAAACTGGCAACTATGGTCATATATCAAGCCCCCGCCCAAAAAAAAAGTAAAAACAAAAACAAAAGCAAAGGCAACTTTGTGAGACTTGCTCAACAGCGTAAACAATACCTTGCTTAATTGCATCTACTCCAACCTTTAGACCACTAACAGCTGACACTACTGCATTAAGAAGAACAAGAAAATTAAAAAGCAATCACAATGTAATACAAAACATAAAAAATTTATGCAGACCCACTCTTTACAATTTAGAGAAATACATCCAGAAGAGCCGCTGCAGTATTTCTTCATTTCATTACATCAATAATAGGTTGATCAGTTGCAACAACAAATAAAATAGCAGATTGTGCAAATACCTGACATAGCTGGTGTAACAACCCCATCAGCTATCACCATAGCAGTACCAGCAAGCACTAATGTCAGAAGAAGCCTTTTCAGAGTCAGAGAAGCCTCGAGCCTTTCCTTGATTTTTAAAGATCTCTCGAGTTCAGGAGATGGCACTTTTAGCCTGAAGCTTGATATCCGGGCATCAGACGGAAGCTGGTTTGGAAGAAGACTGACCTTAGCATGTCGACAGATCAATGAATACAAAGCAAATGTACCACCTGGAACAGTTAAATAGCCATCAAATAGATAATACACATTCAGGCAAACATTTTCTTTTGTACTACATACATAATAGGTAGGTTTGTATTGAGAGAGAGAGAGAGAGAGAGAGAGAGAGAGAGAGTGAGAGAGAGAAGATGACAGAAAATGAAGACTTGATTTACGACGTCTGGCATACCTTCACCATCATCATTAGCCCAAAGAACAACCAGCACATACTTAAGCAGGGGGATCAAGATTAAGGTGTATAGGACTAGTGACATCGCTCCAATAACATCCTCATTTCCATTAATAGGTGCCTTTTTAAACATGACACTGAAGGCATACAATGGACTTGTTCCAACATCACCAAAGACAACCCCAAGTGTCTGAAAAGCAATTATTATTTTCCTTCCAAGACTGAAATCCTGCAATTAAATATACTTATTATTAGAAGAAATTCCAATCACAAAATTTGTGCCCTATGCAAAGAAAGTATACATCTCCATAATTCAATAGTTTAGCTTTCTGTATCATTAACTCCTTCCCTTGAATGAAAAATAAGGTTAGCAAAAACCAAATTCTAAATATAAAAGAAAAGAAGAAGAAAGAAAGAAAGAAAGAAAGAAAGAAAAGGAAAAAAGCAACACAGGTAAAGAAACAAAAAGGAAGATACATGTTCCAAGAAAAGAACTCTTGTATCAACGTTCCCTCTTTCAGTACAAAATTCAAATCCGATTTAGATGAACCATATCAATCTATGAAGTCGTATTAAAGAAACTGGGTACTTTCACTAGGATGAACCGTAAGGCAGATGATGAAGTATAAGGAATACTAATCTATTCATCCATATTGGATAAAACCGCATACTTTCTCCAGTCGCCACAGATAAGGCAACTGGATTAACTGTTTTATGAAGCACAATTGAAAGTTACCATCAGTTGCCTACGTACTTGTCCAATGTGAATTTTTTTTCTTTTTTCCATAGGAACATAATTTCATTAAAAAGAAATGGAACAAGTCGTCCATCTGACTAGAAGATACAAGCTAAACAAAGCAACAAAGATGCATGGCAGCAGACCAACAAAAGCTAGTGTACAGAAGAATTCCCATCATAGAATATATAGTCCAAGGTGAAAATTCATCATACTGGTTGGTTTATAATTACAATCTAAGTTTAAATATTACCATCTTCCGAACATGATAATGCTAAGTTGCTGAAAACCTAAAACTCCACTTCCTTCATAGATGCACAAGTTAACATATGACTTAAAACATTATAATGCTAATTCGCCCAAAATCAACTGACAGCAGCATGCCAATCTAAATGAAGAATGAAGAAAGCACAATCTCTAAATACAGCCACTACCAATGGCCACAAGGAATACCAAGCCCTACATCTCCTTCCCTAACTTTTCCTCAAATATTCGAGAATTTCTTTCAGAACAAACCAACCAAAAACACAGGCATAACCCTGCACTTCCACCAAACTTTAGCCTTCTCCCCGGAAAGCACAATGTTACGCAAATAAAATGATATAAAAGAGGCCAGGACACCAACCACAACCTTACCTCTCCAAAGAGCTTGTCTTGCCTCTCCTAAGAGCTTGTGCCACAATCGAAGAGCTACTGGAAAAAGTACATATACATTTTCTACTCTTTTCTCGCCAATAGAAAACTAATTTGGTCTCCTACGTTGGATAATACCAATAGTATTGACCCTCCCATGACCAACTACCCAGTTACTTGTACTTTACTAGGTAAGTTCACCTTCCGAAACAATTGGGATTGTTTAAAAAATGCTTCCTTTTAAATTAATCTAAAATCATTACTTTGAGGAGAAGAATGGATTGAGCATAGATTGTGTTCTCATAATTGTGAACTTGTTTATCATTTTAACTTCGGTATGTGTGTTATTAGCATTCTATTTTATTTCACGTGGAAGGTTCTAGCAGAAGCATCACAAATTCCAAAGTAAAGATGGTAAACAAGTCGGGAATTATGATGACGCATTTCTTGTCAATGTTAATGAATTCTTCCCCCACCCACCCAACAGCCCCCCCAACCCCACAAAAAAAAAAAACAAACAAACAAACAAACAAACTTTATCTACATTACCACCGTTAGAACATCCATTACTAATGTTTGCCTTGAAGAAGCCACTCATGCCATCCTCTTAGTTAAAGAAGAAGGGCAAAAAATAACCTCACAACCCCAAAATGTATATGACACAATAGGCATTTCATTTATTTATTTAATTTTCTTAGCACTAAATCCTTCCGGAAATACAGCTAGCCAAAAGGGGAAATCAATCACACAAGTAAGAGTTAAACTCCAAGCTGAAGAATGACAACATCTTAAAGTGGATTGGATGCTCGCTTCAAAATAAACATTGCTAAGATATTTCAAGCAACATTCACCAGAACTAAAATAATTTTAAAAATTCAAAAAATAAAAAAGGGCAGCTTCACGAGTATGTGGATCGGTATTGTTCCAGCTAGATTCACATCAGATGTCCAAACGAAAATATAAATCAACCAAAAAGCAAAGAAAGACTGACGTATACGATAAAACACTATAGGGAAGTAAGAGAAGACAAGCATTGATTTCTAGTTCATGCAAAGCAATGCCAAAAGAGCGATGCTACTGGCACTGAAACCAAAATGCAAATCGTAAAGCTTGAAGCACCTCATATTCGTTTCGCAGAGCGCCGGGGACCTCGAGCGCTTCGACGTCAAAGGAATCGATGCGAGGGCCAGTGCGAATCAAGCGCTGCTCGGCATTGTCGTCGTCTTCATCGTCCTCCGAATCCACAACCGTCCGATGCCTCACATCGTCCTCTGCCTCCTCATCGTCAACCTCGGAGTCGTCCTCGTCCTGAAAAACCCACCGCGAATCGATGGAGTCCATGGATGCTAGTCCGCCATTGATCTCGCCCCTCTCGAGACCTTCCTCCTCGGCCATCGACGACAACTGTCAATTTTTATTTTTATTTTTTTTGCCTCTCCTTTAAATTTTGGTATTCAGAATACCAGAGTGGGATTTTGGCTGGGTGGGTGTTTGGATGGGAGGAAAGTGAAGGAAAATTTTAGGGTTTGGCATACGAAAATGGGAGAAAGAGGGAGAAAATTTTCTAGGATTTGGTAAATGGAAATGGAAATGGAAATTGTTGGAGATTTTGTTTATTTTGGGCTAAATATGGGGTTGAGCTTCAACATCTCACGCTCGCTGTGTTGCTCGCTCTAGCTCTCTTTTGTTGCTCTTGGTGTGTCCGATCGGGCCCGGTCCGGTCCGAACCGGTTACAATTTGCTCTCTGTTTCGCCACGTCAGACCGATCCAAAAAGAGAAGAGCCCTGGGAAGATAAAATGGTCGACTCCCAAGAGAGACCAGCTTATGACCTCACTGGTCAATCAATTCGATCGTTTTTTCACTTTTTGTTTTTGCATTTAAATCATAAAACAAGCCTCTTGGCACATTTTCTGTTTTTTTTTTAATTTTCATAAGTAATGTCTTTTAATTAGGTAAATATAAAGGGATTTCGAGCCTCTATATATTATGCATTTATCCGCATTTTGTAACAGACCATTCTAATAATCTAACTATATAAGATATGACACATAAGCAACATAAATATTTAAAATTGGTTTTCTAATAATTTTCTTTTAAAATTAACAATATTAATATTGCTGAAATTGAAAATAAAACAAGCGAAAGGTGAGGGGAGAGAGAGGATGCTGCAAAATGTTGCTGCTTGCACCATTGTTTTTCTTTTTTCTTTTTTTCTTTTTTTTTTGAGGGATTTATATCTCGCTTCCAACATACCATATCATTGTTCAGAAACTTCAACCTCCACCCGCCACTAGTTTATTCAAGAAAAGTTTGCTTATGGATGATTTGCTGTTCAGCTCTTGAGTATGAAAGGTCAAGGAAAAAGGGGTTAGGCAGGGGAAGCGAAAGTTGTCGAGGCAGGGGGGGGGGGTAGGGGACACTAGTATGGCAGCTTAGGTGGCGTTGGGGTGGTTGGGATGGGGGTATAGGGGTTGGGAGTATTAGGGAGTTACAATAGTTAATCCTACTAATTATAGGAAATGGTCAGTTGTCAGTTATGTTGTTATTAGGCCATAACTCTATATTTATGTTGATTATAATGGCTTCCTGTAACTGTAGATTATTCTCTACATCTATATTTATGTTTATTGTATAATGATCATATAAATAATATAAGGAAAAATCAGTTTCTACATGGTATCAGAGCTAATGGCTAATGTTGATTAGCGATACTCTAGTTGCCAACATTGAGAGTCGTTGGTGCTCCTCACCCGTAAAGGTGTTTGTTTTGTGTAGTCTTTTTTCCTCTCTTTTTCTCAAAGATGAATATTATTTTTTTTTCCCCTCCTCCATAGCTCAGTGCCTCTTCCACTCCTCATCCATCTCCGTCTCTTGACATCATGGCCAGATCTCTGTTTTCCCTAAGAGACCACACCTCCCTATCGTTGTTTCCCTCTTTCTCTTGAAATCTTTCTCCACTTCTTTGTCTCCGTCGTGCCGTCTCTCTTCCCTCTGCGAGCCTCGTCAACGCTCGCCAAGCCTTATCCTAGTATGCGATTGTGGTTTATCTCTCCCATGTTTTTCTGATGGTTTCTCTATCATGGTTTCCATATTTTTCCTCTTGTTTGTTGATGATGCCCGTCATTGTTCACCTGCCGTCTCTCTTTCCTCCACGAGCCTCATCAATGCTCATCGAGCCTTCTCTGCCGTGCTACACTGCCACTATTCCCTTTGCACAGCCCTTGTTTCTTCCTCTGTGTTGCCGACTTGGTATCGGTCACTCAAGCCCTATCACTGTGTTGCTGACTTTGTATCTCTGTGTTGCCACTTTGGTATTGGCCTCTCACGCTCTATCTCTGCTCAACCGGTGTTCTCCTCCCCTCTTAAGCCCACACTCTTTCTTTGATTTTACTGCAAGTCTCTGTCTTCTTCGCTGCTCTTTTACATTGCCTTTCTTCTTCTCTGTTACTGGTATTGTCTTCTTTTCTTTATAATTCTTTTATATTACTGGGTTATTCTCTTCTCTTATTTTCAATTGTGTTTTCTCTCTCCCCGTCATGGGTTGTCTCTGGCATCTTGAGTTTCCTTCCTTCCATGAGCCCATGAGCTCCTTCACATCTTGTGTTCTCTCTCCCTCTCTTGACTACTTTCTCCTTTTGATGGGTGTTCACTTTTCTCCTCTTTTTCTCTCCTTTTTCCATCTTTATTTTGAAAGGATTTTCTCTCTAGTGTTTTGCCCACAGTCTCTTTTCATTTCTCTGTCTCACTTGGTTTCCTTCTTTATTTCTTATTATTGTTTTTTGGGTCAATAATCCCTCTTAATTTTAATCTCTACGGGCCTTTTTGCTCTTGATCTTTTCTTTATTACTTCTCTGTTTCCACATGGTTTTCTTCCTCATACCTTATTTTATTGTTTCTATGGTGCTTTTTCAAACTTACCCATGCTCTCTTTTTCTTTTCTTTGTGTCCCAAGTTGGTTTCACCTTCTATTCTCTACTGTTGTGCCGCACCCTCTCTTAACCCCATTATTCCCTTCAAATATTCCTTCTGCTCTCTCTGCACGCATCCATTTCTGCTTACCATGTGATGAATTTTCTTTTAGGAAAATGCTAGGGAGACCAACTTGAGAGACCAACTTGGGATACCAACTCTCTAATAGAGTGTGGGACCCATTGTATTGGTGGGCTCCACCTCTATTAGAGAGTTGGTACACAAGTTGGTCTCCCTAGCATGACCCTTTCTTTTATTTCTACTTCCTCTCTTGGTGTAACTTTTTTTATTTTATTTTGGGCAGCTTTTATTTTTCTACATGGCTACTTCTTTTCTCGCTTACCACATGCTCTTTATCTTACTTAGAGGTAGGTAGAGTATAGGTGCCTAAAGTTGTTTCCTAGGTCCATTTGACTTGTATGTCAGCCCGTCATTTTATTCCTTCCTTCCATGAGCCCATGCGCTCCTTCACTTCCTGCCTTTCAATGGGCGTTATGTTTACTTTGTTTCTCTCATGCTACTATTGCAACTCTGGAGATTGGAGTTCTTCTTTTTGGTTCCCCTTACTGGACTACTACAACCGACTGCTGCCGCCATATCCATTACTATGTAGTTTCTTCATTCAAATCTTGCTATGATGTGTGCGCTCGATTTGTGGGGGAATATTAGGGAGTTACAATAGTTAATCCTACTAATGATAGGAAATGGTTAGTTGTCAGTTACATTGTTATTAGGCCATAACTCCATATTTATGTTTATGATAATGGCTTGCTGTAGATCATTCTCTACAGATATATATATATTGTATAATGATCATATGAATAATATAAGGGAAAATCAGTTTCTATAGGGAGGGGGAGTTGGCCTTCTGGTTTTTCCAATTTTGGATATTGTGACTTTTTAATCTTATTTTTATATTTTTAATTGAATTTTCAAGAAATTTAAATTATTAGATTTTTTAATTAATTTTGTAAAGTTTGTAGATGTGTCATGTCTCAGATGGTTTGACTATTCTAATGGTTCAAAAATAGTGAAATGCGTGTAAACAATAACTGAAGACAAGTTAAAAGAAAGAGACATGTGGGAAGTGTGGGGAGGGTGGGAAGTAAAAAAAAGGAATGTGTCTGGATTGGTGAGTAACTAATTACATATATATGTATGTATTTTTTTTTTTTTTACAATTCAGCAAATTATATTTGTACTATTTTGCCCTCATTATATTAAATTGTGGTGTTCTAACATTTTTGTTAAGCAATGGTATTTTAAGGGATTTTGTAAGTTTCACTTCTAAGGCATTCTGCCATTATATATGTAAAAATGTCACATCAACTTATACACAAATTTCAATTTGTCATCTTAAATTTTTTTTAAAGAGAAATGTCACCTTAATTTTCCAAAATCCATGATTTGTCATCTGACTTTAACGCCATCCAATTTTCCATCAATTTTCAAGGGTATTTTAGTAATTCTAAAATGTAAACCCTTTGTGAAACTTCTTTTTCGAACAAAAAAATCAGAGAAGACAAGAGCAATACTTTTACACATGAACAACAGTCAAACTTTAGGGTTTCAAATTATTTTTTAGGGATCTTTGTGAGTTGTCCAGTTCCAAGGACATTGGCATTGATGGCGACTCCACACTACTACCCTCCAAACCACAGTAAAGCTTTGCTTTCTACTTGGGAATCTTTGAAGTTTTTGCTTTTTATATGACAATGAGAGATTTGATCCATGTGATCCTTTTTTCTTTCTTTATTTTTTTTTGCTTTACTTATATGCTATTACTTTGCTTTTGTGCTTTGGGTTACTGTGTATTGTCCTTTTAAATAAATGTTAATTCGTGTATGTGTGTAGGTGATTGTGATTTAATTACCATGAAAATTCACCATGGGGTCACTTTATAGACCCCCCAAATATCACAAGCAAGTTGGGAGACCAAGGATGCTCAGACGTAGGGAGCCAGATAAGGTTCGACCTCCTTCAAATCCAAACAAACTTCTAAGATGCTTCATCAAGATCAACTGCAGTAAGTGTAGCCAAGAAGGCCATAATGCTACTACTTGTGAAAGGAGGAAGCAAGCAAAAAGACCTCAAGTAAAGATAATGAGATTTTTAATTTTTGTTTATATATTAAATGTTGAGAAGTTGGCAATGAAATTTGATTTGGTATAGGTGAATGGAGAAGGTGATCCAAGAGGGCAAACTTCAGCAAATCCAAGCCAACAACAGTTGGAGACAAATGGAGGAAATAAGACAAGTGAAACCTTAGCAAATCAAGCATACTTTGTACCAAGAGGAATAAAATCTGCAAGAAATATGTATGAATCCAGTGCATAAGTCTCAAACCCATGTTCTTCTACTACAAGAGCAAGCACAATGAGAACCAACGCCAAGTCTCATGCCAAGAAGAATAACGTATGGAAATCACAAAGCACCTAGGTTTAATTGGTCTTGGTATCATGCAAAGTTTATATTACAAACAGATAAAAATTGGGATTATGTTTTGAAGTGTTGTAGCTTTGTGGCCTTGGTATAAGTTGTAGACTTGGTCACGTTTTGAATCCTATTTTGTGAACCCATTTGGGCTATACTTTTGTTTTGTATGTTAATTTCCAGATGAAGGCTTTTTGTCAATTTCTTTCTCAAAATTGAATTAGTGCCTTTGATTATTTCCCTAAAAACAAATTGAAACCACAAAATTTGAGTGTTGTTCATAAAGTTTGAGTGTTGTTCAGAGTAAAAGTCTTGCTTTTGTGGTTTTAACTTCCTT